CAGCGATCGACCCTGACCTTAGTTCTGGATGCTGCTGAGATTATACTGTGCTCGTCCGATGCTGGCGTTAGAGGATATTCTTTTCACCCCTACGGTTGTCGCTCTGTCGCCTGGTGGCGCTGGCAGCTGCACCTCCGGCATTGTCTCGAGAGACGGGTGCTGCTGCCCAGCGGTAGTTGACGGAACTATGGAACCTTCAACCGTCGGGAGTCGCTACTGCTGCCCAGCGGTAGATGACGGAACTATGGAACCTTCAACCGTCGGGAGTCGCTACTATTTGAGACAGCCCGTGAGGGCTGCCGTTCCGGGCCCAAACCATAACATATCACTTTCTTGATGAAACGTCGACTAGGTTTTCACTATCATGATTGCCTAAGTGTTCCATCGCAGCTTTATGGATTATCTCTTTGTTGTAAGTGTAAAGAACCGTGCGGTTTGGCGGGTGCTGGGTTATTTCCTGACCTTGTGATTATGTTAAAGGAAATAGTTCACTTTTAACATGGGGTTTTGAGCTGGAATAGCAGTTTCGTAGCTTGAGCTGAGACTAGCACAAATCAGGAGCTTTTACGGCTCAACGATCACCCTAGACGAAGAAATTCCATTTCTCGTTCCGAAAAGAGTGCCTTGTAGAGGAATGCGTGCCTTGCACAGGAATGCAGCCACGTCATCGTCAGCCAATCAGCGTGCTGCTTACAGCCAATGCAGTATTCGTAGGTTTGAGCTACGCAATATGATTGGTCAATGCGTAATAAGCTTCCGCGTCAAACATTATTTTACATAGAATATAGTTCGCCCTATATTAAAATAAAGAAAATAATTGTTTTTACAAAAAGGTTTTATTTTATTTCATGATTATTTTGAGCATAAAAAATCATAAATCAATAGCAAAATACTGATTTCAGGAAAGTGGACTGTTTCCTTAAAGGACATGTATTTTATTGGTCTGACCCGTCGCCTATCCATCCATCTCCCCGCAACGTTTCCAACCTCTGAGGCCGTATATTCACGCGCTGGCTGGCCACCTGACTAATAGCCCGGGGCGTTTAACGGTGGCCATCTTAGCGCGACCGGTGCCAACGGCTGATGGGTCAGTGGTGCTCTGGTATTTGGTCAGACCCCCCCCCCCTCCCCGCCCCCCAGGGGAGGTGGCTGCCTGAAGAATGGTGCGTGTCCGACTGTCACCCCTCCCTCTCCTCCCCCCGCCTCTCCTGGCGCTCTCTGTGCTCTGGTCAGTGACACTGCGGTCTCTAAATCGCTCCCTGTCTCCCCCCCCCCCCCCGGCCGATCGCCTGCCACTGAACAGTGAGCACCAACTGACACAGCTGCGTGCACCCGGGTCCGGCTCGGATCCAACTCCGAACGCTGTATTTCGGTATCAACTGACCGCGATACGTAAACGATTAACTTGGACCCACCGTCGTCGGGCGTTTGGCCCGGTCGGCGTCCGCTCGAAGTGTGAGGTCTCGAAACTGTGACAGCGGTGTACATACTCACCTATCGTTTGTCATGTCAGGGTAGGTAAGATAGGTAGCCACTCACCCGGGGTGTGTGACTTATGGGGCGTGTCATTGGCGGAGGACACGCCCACTGCGTTGGTATGACACGCCCTCCGCACTGATATGACAGACGCACGGAGGTGAGGTGTTTCAGAGGCTGCCCCGGTAGGTGGCGAGGTGGGAGGGCCCGTCACTCACGCCTGATCCGGGCTTCTGGTGGATGGCTCAACTACAATTAGATATGCTGACAGTGGCGTGGAAGCTGTCAATGTGATATGTGCTGCCAAAGACTACGCTACCTAACGTTTATATTGTTTTATAGAATAGGTTATGGCGCCATTAGCTGGGGCCTGGGGGTTATAAACTTGGCTCATATTGACGGTAGTTCCGGCTGCTGCCTGACTGCCACTCATTTTATTATTCTAACCCTGATTCTCGAAGTCTTAGAACACCTCCAGCTTGTGAAGCTGCGAAAGGAGCGTGTATCTCAACCACTTTTTATCTCTGTTTTCTTGTTCTTTGTTTTGGTCTTGTTTATACCGACCGGTATGACTAAGAGAGATCCGTTCGGGCTGACCTTTGCGAACAGAGCGGAAACTTTTCGCACCACGTCCCTGTTCCAGATTCCATCACAGCGCGGGCTCACGGACACGCGTCTTGTCTCGTTTTACTAGGGTTGACTATTAAATAATGGAAGTGCCCCTAGCAATGACAGGTTTTTGCACTTAAACGGATTTGTTTCATGTCATTACATACACCGATGTTTTTCCTTTACAATGGTGAAGACCCGATGCCTTTAGCTTCATTCTGCTCTGAGCTATCACCATTTTATCACCACCATTACCATATCACCATTTTATCACCACCACCAAAGGAGCCTGGAAATGGATAAAAGCGCGTGCCAGCGGGGTGCGAGGTCCTCAGAGGTCAGTTTGTGGTAGGAATAAGTTCTGCCGAGATAGGACATTTCTTTTGAAAGTGTATGTATGGAGCGACTGTAGCCTCTCTAAAGACGATATGTAGGTGGTGCCACCGATTTCAAAAAGGGAGGGGTGCCGACATCGCGGACAGGCAGCGTCCGGGGGCACCCTGGAGAGTGCATATGGCGCATGCGCGAGACCAAGTGGGGAAAATGATCGTAGGCGATAGGCGCTTAGGCATAAGCGATATGACAATGAGCTATGAGCCTGTGAGACATGAAAATGAAATGCTGAGTTCTGATAACCTGGCAATGGCGCGCGATTTTGGCCATTGCCCGGCTCCTTTTCTATGGTGCGCCACAGGTTTAGGTGGTGTCTTGGAAAAACGGCGACAGCTCAAAGCAGAATGTAGCTAAAGACATCTGGTCTTCACCAGTGGAAAGAAAAAAACATCGGCGCAGGTGTTGGCACTAAAGAAATGCATGGACGTGCAAAAACCTATCATTGATAAGGGCACTTCCATTATTTAATAGTCAACCCTAGTACATCCACCCCTGGTCATTAAATGTCGCTGACTGCGCGGCCAGTCGGGTCCTCTCAGTCTCTGGGCGGGGGCGGCTGGCTTTGTGTCGGGCCCGGGCGGGGGCGGTTCCGTTCTGTTTATATCGTTGGCGGGCGTCGGTCGGGGCGGCGGACCAGTCACTGTGGGCTCTCACTTTGCCAGAGACTGGCGAAGTGAGGCTGGGTCTGGTGCTCCGTGGTGTGTCGGGCTGGACTGAGATGGGTTGTGCCGGAGAGGATGTCCTCTGGAAGGTTGGTGAACTATGTGCTGAACACTGTGCTGAATTGTATGCGGTGACAGGCTTGTCCCCTTGCGCTGCTTGGATAGGTCGAAAGTGTTCTATGTTTCTAAGGTTTCGGCTACGTCTGGATGATTTGGTGACCAAAGAAAGTATTGATTGTATACTCGCCCACATGTGTTCCGAGTTAAACCCATAGTCCGTCGTGATTGGCCCCTCCCTTCGTGATATTCTGTGACTCCTAGTGATCCCGCTATCAGCTGTGACGGGCGCACAGCTCTGGTTGGCGCTGCCATCAGCTGGTTCCCCACTGCCACCGACGACATCACTCTGTGAATTAACTGCGCCCCCGCGCCGGTCCGAGCTGCCAAAGGCCTTGCCAAGAGTGTAAAATAGATGCCACTGGTCGCCCTCGCTCCGGACCACATCTCAGTAGCCTCGGGTCAGCTGACAGCTGCTAGTGCAGTCACCGATGACCTCAGAGTGACCTAAGGTCACTGTCGCGGTCACTGAGGTCATCCCTGACCAGATAGGCGTCGAATCGCGCGCGCAGCAGCTGGAGTCGCTCCAAGCAAAACACGCTGGGAGCGCGGGCGACAGAAATAACGCGCTGTCAGCGGCGGCGACGGCCGTGTCCCGTCGAGCGGCCGCGTCGGTCGCGCGGCGCACCTCCCTTCCTGACCTCTGGGTCATCGGGCGCCGGCCGCTCGCGTCCGTCAGTCGGTCGGGCGCTGCTGGCGAGGCTGTCTGTGTCGGTAGTTCAGCTGTGTGACGATTGGAAGGGTGGGAGATGCTGTGAGGCTGTTGTGAGCGGAGTGGAGAGGTGGGTGACAGGACTGTTGTTGTTGTTTGGGATAAAGATTTGGGGATATTGACAGATACCAGGCTGAGGGGACGTTTGATGTTTTGTTTTGTGCTGAGGCCTGTTTTGCTTATCTGTGGCTGTGAGGAGTATGGTGCTCTAGATTTTATATTGAAGTTTGTGTGGTAATCGCCAGGAAAAGTGAGCAGTCATGAAGTCTTTCTGGTGTCGCCGATCTTCTCCTAATTGTCGCTTTTGTTTTCCGCAGAGCAATGTCGGCCCGGCACCTGGCAGACGCGAGACCAAGTCCAAATCCAAGTCTCCGGCGCGGACACAGCGAGTGAAGAGCCCGCCCCGGAGTGGTGGCACCGCCAGTCCGCCGGCCATGCCTCCGGGCGGTCTCAGACTGGGCTCCCCCGGGCCTGGAGGCGACCCCAGCTCCCAGCGGGGCCTGTTCTCGCTGCTGCGTCTGTTCCGACGGCGCCGCTCGCTGTCGGCCGAACGGCGCCGAGCTGTCACCGGCTCTCCGCCGCCGAGCCGGCCGGCGCGAGCCTCCAGTGAGGACCGTACTCTCAGCTACCGACCGCGCAAGAGGGCTGCGCCGCCGCCGCCGGTCGGCAGCCAGCAGCAGCCCGGGCGGCCGGCGAGGACGGGCACGGCGCGACGCGGGGCGGCCGCCGATCGGACTCGACCAGCGCCCTCCGATCAGGTGCGACATGTGCGCGGGAAGCGGCGTGCTCCGCCACCGCCGGCCGCCGGGCAGTTCTGCAGCCTGCAGCCGCCAGGCCGAGCTGAGCCGCCGACACCAACCGCGCGGAGTCTGGACCGAACCACCAGCCGACAAACGGACACGCTGGTCCTGGAGGGAGGCGTGCTGCGACCTCGGACTCGTACTCCAGAGGAAACCAGGGGCTCAGCACGACCATCGGACTCAGCGCAGCAGCCGGCCGCCGAGCGGACCCCAGAGCCGACGCCCCGCGCCGGGACCCTGTCACGCCTCTCGGTGGCTGCTGGTCCCCGGCTGTGGTACAAACGGAAGAAACCGGAGGAGAGCAAACCCTCGGACGCCCGCGAGCGGCGCGGCCGCAGGGACCGGCGCAGTCGCAGTGAGCGTGCCGCCGAGCCGGACGGTGAGCTAGACTGGCTGGCGGACATGGTGTACGCTCGAAGCAGCGCTGCGCCGCCGGAGGGCACGGTGGAGAGACGACTGCAGGTCCTCCGCCACCTGGCTGACCAGGAGGAGCGCTCAGAGCCGTCCCCGGCACCGGCACCAGCTCCGGCTACAGTTCCCACTCCGGCTCCGGCTCCGGCCTCCTCCCTGACGCCCGCATCAGCCGAGTCTCCACTCCAGCGATCGGTATCGTCCACCAAACCTTCCGAGCCGCCCAAAAGCGACCCCGAGCCGTCACAGCCGCCGCTCCCGGCCAAGAACCGCAGTCCTCTGAGAAGTCTATTCGGCCGCGATCGCTCGCCGAAACAGTCCTCGTCTCGTGGTGACCCTTCCGCCGCCCGTCCGCGGTTCTCAATGTTAGCCAACATCAGTGCGCTGGATCGTGAAGCCGCTCAGCTGATCGAAGGGCGGGCCGATCAATCGGCTACTTTACCGTCACACTCGCACCTGGGCGGCGCTCTAGGCGGCGTTGATGATGATTGTGGTGCACAAGGAGACGATGGAACGCTGGTGGCGAGTGGGAAATCTCACGCCGAAATGGAGCGTGAGAAACGTGAGACGTGTCAGACGATAGCGATGCTGGTTAGGGAGAAGTTTGAGGAGAAGGGAGAGGAGACAGAGACTGAGAAGTGCTCAGCGCCGGTGAGTGGGGGATCTCCGAAAGGATCGGCGCTGGAAAGGGGAGCCGCTGGCGGTCCTGCATCGAGCTCGCCTGAGGAAGCGAAGCAGGGTTTGAAGACGGAGAGAAGTAGAGTCTCGTGTGGTGCGTCGAGTGCAACATCGGGTCTTAGTGATAAGCCGAAGGAAAGTGCTGAAAATAAGGCAAGTAATACAAAGGTGCAGAATGTTTCTAGCCCTGTATCACTGCGCTCTGATTCTGCAGCTCAGAAAAACAACAGTGTGACTCAGTCCCCAAAACAAGCATCTCCCCCTTCGAATGTCTCTCGAGGCAAAATGGTGCGTCAAGAAAGCTACCCCGCCGACAGAAACCCATTCGACGAAGGTCCTCAGCAAAGCGGGAATCCCTTTGAAGACGCGGACGAGCCCGTGCCCAGGTCGAAACAGCACGGCGTTTATGACAACGTCGTGCTGGCGCCAGTCCAGTCGACCAACCCGTTTGGCGAGGATGAGTACCCGGACACGATAAACCCGTTCGCAGATGATGTGGACGCAGAGATTGAGCCGCCGGCGGCGGCGGCTGAGTTTGCTCCGTCCGCGCCGCGGCATGAGGACAGTGCCGAGAGGTGTGTCAAACCAAACCAGTCTCCAGCAAAGGATGATAAATTGGCAAAGACCGACCTTCAACCGGTGACATCCAGCGGACGTGCAAAGTCTGACTCTCCTCGAGAAGCACGCCGAGGGGACCCCGAGCCGCCAGAGCCCGCCCCTCGGCTCAGTGTGCGTCAGGGAAGTGTTTCCGCCCAGGAAACCCCCCGTCCAGTGACGGTCTCGGCCGGAGGAGCCACTCCACAGCGAGACGGAGACATCCCGACTCTGGTGCGCGACCTGAACCAGTTCCTGGACACGACCATGCAAACTCTCAGCTCTCCGGGCGCCCAGAGGCGGCAGGCGGCGCTGGCTCGTGCGGAGGCGGCCTCTGTGCCCTCTGCCGGCTGGTCATGTAGTCGGTGCACACTCATCAACCGAGCGGTGTTGTCTGCCTGTCAGGCGTGCGGCTCGCGACGGCCCGGCGCGCCTGACTGGAGTGCCGAAATGCAGCGCTACTTTGGCGGCAGCCCGCCGCAGCCGACGCCTCGAAAGGAGAGTCTGGGTGTCGTACAGGGCGGCGTGGCCCACCGTCTCGGCACGTTCCCCGGTCAGGGCTCTCTGGGAACACGGTCGTTGAGTCGGGATAGCGCCTCGCCGCGTCGGGCGATGCCTGCTCGAGGTGACCACCGCAGCCTGGAACTGGGTGATGACGCATTGAACGCCTGGGGTGGTGGTGGGAGGCCGACGGTGGAGAAAGAGGAGGGTAGCAAACGGCGCACGTCGAATGGACCTGTGACCCTGGCCGGGAGTGTATTTGGCTCGGCAGGTGCCGCGGCGAAGGATCGGCAAGAAGCTACTAGTCGGAGAGCGGAACCGAAAGAATCCCTCACTGCCGCCGACCGGCGCAGTTTCTTCAGTGATTCTCGGGGTTCAGGGCCCACTCAGAGAGAAAATCAACCCGAGCGAGCCGAGCCAGCCGTCAAGAAACGCCCCAACCTACCATCGACGTTTGTGGCTCAGTTACTGCAGCGGGAGGCGTCTCAGGCAGCACCGTCTGCTGCTCCAACCTCGACAGAGTCTGCGTCTCGTCCGTCAACGAGTGATGAGCCAGACATGGATGAAGTACGCCGCGCCCGACTGGCGTTCTTCGCTCAGCGGCAGGCGGCACGCGGCTCGCAGGAGCAGCAGGCCGCGGCGCCGACGCCCTCTGGAGAGGACAGTCACCGGTCCAGCTCTGCGTCGCTCTCTGCTGATCCCACCGACGCTGACGATGCTGACGATGAATCAGAGTCAGACTCGACATCAGTGTCCGGTCACGTTCCACCCTCTGAGTGGCGGTCTTCGGATGTGACTCCTGCCGCCGCAGCGACCACCACCCCTTCGACCGCCGGTCCGGCCACACCTGCCCCGCCGCCGTCCGCACCGCCTCTGGGTACTCTGGGACGCGCCTACAGCGCTGCTGAACCTTCACTACCAGCCATCAAGGAAGCCTCTCCTTCTGACTACCTAGAGGAGACCCGTGGCGCGGCGCCGCCGCCGACCGTCCACGAGTATGAGGACGTGGAGGTCGCCCCGCGTCCCTGGAAGCTCTCTCCGGCCGAGAAGGCTCGCCGCCGACCGGCGGGGAAACCCCAGTGGCGTGGCGACTCCCTGATTGTGCCGGACGGTCGAGGAGGCCGTGTGCGCTGTGTGGTGGAGCGGGACTCAACTGCGCCTCAGTTTGTGATCAGGGACGGCGTGTTGTACAGTCAGCTACCGACTCCGGCAGCGGTAGAGAGCCGTGCGCTGCCACCGCGAGACGCCGCTGCTCCGGCACCGGCACCCGCTTCGACAGATTCGGCACCCCCACCGGAGCAACAACAAGAAAAGACAACGACGGCGACTACGGCGGCAACGGCGGCAGCGGGCGCAGAAGAGGAAGCAGTAGACCCGGCCGGCGCTACCTGCAACGGCCCCACAACCAGCTCGGCTCCCTTCCCCACAGATGTCAGCACTGCCGCGGACAGCGGCGGCAGCGGTGGCGCTGCAGACCGTCCAGGGCGTCTGGAGTCCGACCAAGGTTAGTGAGGGGGCGCTTTTAGAGCAGGTATATTTATCTGGGCGCCGTGCCGGGTCTCTGGCGGGCGGAGGTGGCCGTGGCAGGGTGACTGGCGCACGCGGGTGACCCTCTCTCGGGTGTGGAGGTCTGGGTGACGTGAGCGGGCCGGCCGGGGTGGTCGGGGGCCCATGTGGTGACGCGAGGGGTCAGGCCGGCGCCAGTGACACAGATACCCAGTGGGCTGACGGGCCGCGCGGAAGAGTGTGGGTGGTGCTGTGAGGTGGTTGGGAGAAGGCTGTGATCATGAGGAGCTCTCGGGTGCTGCACGTTATGGACAACATTGGACGAGGTTTGTCATTGTGTTTTTATTTACCATGTAGTTGGACTGTGCTATAGTCGACCTGTAGTTGTCGTAAGGTCATTCTGTGCCGCATACATACTGTGCTAAACAGTGGGCAATCAATGTTTAGTATTGGCCCGTAGACCACCTTTCTCTGCCATCCGTGTTTGTCTAACTAGTCTTCTTCAGTTAGAACCTTGTTTACCCACCTATTTGTACGAGCTGAAACGGATTTTATTCATTTGTCATCCACCTTGCATTTTAACTCGCTATAATTTCTCACCTACGTTCACCGCCTATTTTTGCGACCAAATGTCTTTGCACAATTCACATGACGTCGCCATCCATCCGACCACCTCAGACGTGTTGTTCCGTCTCATCTATCCTATCTTGAACACCCTCGCCCAATGTCTGCCCCCGGTGAGCCTCGCGTTTGGTGCGGTGCTGTCGAAACCCGGCCGAGTTGGCAGTGCTCGTGGCCGAGAGCTTGGCTGACGTGTCGCGTCTGGGTGGGGCGCAGAAACAGGGCACTGGGCCAGCCCGGTCAGCCGTCTCCCGACCGCCGCCACCCCGCCCGGCGTGCCGACATTTCGGTGTGATATGGTGTGTTTACCTCCTACTGAGATGGCTCCGCTGAGGGAGGGTAAACTGAGAGTGAGGCTCGCGCGCCTCCCGCCCCGCCATGCCCCGGTCCGGGGTGGTAGATTAAGCTCTTTCATGGGATATGAAAGACACATGGCAACATGAGGCGTGGCTGGCACGATAGGCCATGCGGATTTGAATGACGTTGAATTTTTCACATTACATGTGACTGGCGCCTAGTCCTGTCGACCGTATTAGTAATAGTCAGTGTTCATTCTTCCCCAATCCGTGCTTACTTATTTGTTGTTTATATTTCTTTTCCAAACCGTAATCTGCATCGTTTACAGCAGAATAGAAACTCACTCTGACTCAAACTTTACCTGACCCGTGTGCTCTTGATAACACCGATCTGACCTGCCTTGCACTGACCTGACCGGCTACAGGCTGCTCTGATCTGACCTGACCTAATCTGACCTGACCTGACCTGGCCTACAGGCTGCTCAGACCTGATGCTGGAGCTACAGCGCGCCATAGACTGTGGCCAGCACAGGGAGGCGGCGGCGCTGGCCCGCCGGCTGGCGGCTCTGAAGGCAGAGAAAAGCCGACTGGCCAGCACGGTTATAACGTGAGTGGCGGGACGGAAAGGAAGGGAGGGGTGAGAGAGGGAGAGGGGGAGTGAGAGAGAGAGGGGGAGTGAGTGAGAGAGAGAGAGAGAGAGTGTGAGAGAGAGAGAGTGAGAGAGTGAGAGAAAGAGTGAGAGAGAGAGAGCGAGAGCGAGAGTGAGAGCGAGAGCGAGAGCGAGAGCGAGAGCGAGAGAGAGAGAGAGAGAGAGAGAGAGAGAGAGAGAGAGAGAGAGAGAGAGAGAGAGAGAGAGAGAGAGAGAGAGAGAGAGAGAGAACATACGCGATTGAAGAGGAAGAGGGAGAGGGAGTGAAAGATAGTGTGAGAGTGATGGAAATAGAGGGCGGAAGAAGGGAGAGGGAGCTTGCAGTGAGAGTTGGGCTTCGTGCAACGGTGTTAATTTGCCCGAGGGCAGTCGACAATGTTATTGACTGCGGCAGCTGCCGTCTCAATGTCACCGCGTGATGTTTATCGTGTGCTCGTTGGCACAGTGTCGTGAAAGCGCACAGTGAGGGTCTTGTCGCCTGCTCTTTCCCGTGACCTACTTCAGTGTCGTGTCGGTGGTGAATTTGGCTCGCGATGATTCAGATGTGACGGCAACGTCTCAGTTTAATCTGGATAGTGTTCAGTCTTGTTTACTGTGAAGTGTAAACGCTACCCTTGCCTGCCTCTGTTGCCATAATCCTTGTGCCTCAGTGTAACTCTACAATGTTTCGAGCCGTTTTCATTCCTATGAAGTCATCCTGGTCGTATCAGATGACATGACATTCCGCTGGCGAAGTATTTCCATCTTCTCTGCCCTGATGTTTCGGTGCCCTGAAAATCAGTCTCCTCTCCTCTCCTCTCCTCTCCTCTCCTCTCCTCTCCTCTCCTCTCCTCTCCTCTCCTCTCCTCTCCTCTCCTCTCCTCTCCTCTCCTCTCCTCTCCTCTCCTCTCCTCTCTCTCTCTCCCTCTCTCTCTCCCCCCTCTCTCTCGCTCTCTCTTCCTCTCTCTCGCTCTCTCTTCCTCAACTTTCCCTTCCATCCCTGCCCTGGCTGCGCATTCGCCCGGGCTTTGACGTCTCTGTCTGCTCTGTGCAGTCTGTTTTTTCAGTCTGCTGTTGCCTCTGTGCCCTAACACTTCTCTCTGTTCTATGCAGAGTGAACCTATTCGTCGAGGACCGCAAGTGTCACGTGGGCCCCATTCCGCTCCGGCTGTCACCACTGATGGCCGTACACGAGCTCAAAACGCAGGTCAGTTCGGGACCGGAGGTTAGGGAATGGGTAAAGACAATGAGTGTGGTCAGATAGTGTCTGAGGGGTATCTAGGAACTGTTCAATGACTGCTCAGAGGGTCTCTCATCAGTTGATTCCGCCTATTTTCCAAGAAAGCAAGAACATTGACAGGTATTGTTGCGTTTATGCGAGCATTGATGCGCCTTGTGAGCTAAAGCTAATTTCTTTTGCCTTCACATTTGAGTTGACTTTGGACATACGAATGTCAGAGGAATAGCAACTCGTCCATAGAATAATGCTCATCATAAACTTTAGTTCCCAATGCCCGTGGTTTTTACCCGTGTCCTGTACTCCCTAGCATCTGGTCGGTTCCCTCAGACCCCAGCTCTGGTGACCTCTGACTCATGACACTTAGCTTTTGACCCGTGACCTCTACACGTGACCTCTGACCTCTGACCCCTGACCGCTGACCTGTGCCTCCTCGTCGGTCAGATTGAGCGCGACTATGCTCTGCCGGTGTCGTGCCAGCGCTGGATCCTGGACAGCCGGCTGGTGGAGCCAGAAGCCGAGCACCGCAGTCTGGTGGAGAGCGGGGTCGGAGACGGGTCGGCCGTGTACCTGTACCTCACCGTGCCGCCAGGTCAGTGCCTGTACCTGACTGTATGACCTGTACCACACAGCACCTCACCGTACCGCCGGGTCAGTACTTTACTCCACTGTACTGCCAGGTCAGCAGTCAGCCTTAAACTTCACAGTACCGCCAAGCTAGTAGCAGTGTCCTAAAATTTGTTGATTTGGGTGGGAAACAACATCCAAATGATGACAATTTTCCACTCTCATTTCAAATCTTTGAAAGCAATTTTCCACTCCCAACCTCAAAAACAAGGAATATCTGCGTGCATGATCGTAAACATCATATTGATACATGTAATGCAAGCTACACATTCCACCACGTGTGTGGAGACGCGTGCTATCAATCCGTTTTCTCTTCATTCTTACCACTCCAACCTGTTTTTAGCTTTACCTGACCGGCAATTTTCCACTCTCATCTCCCTTGTAACTGAATAATTTACCACTCTGATATTCAAAGCAAAATATAATTCTGGGACACTGGCTAGTAGTGTATCGACGAGTCATTGTCCATGTTACTCTTTCTTCAAAAATCGCTTTCCGTACGAAATGCTGCTTCCAAAAATAAGCGAGTATTTTTCCATACATTATACAGAGGAAAGTTCGTAGGTTTTTTTTTATCTCACTGCAATAACAGGACTTCTGACACGAGAATTTCTTGCCTCGGCAGGGGCGGCCGACTTCTACCGGGACCGACCCATCTCCACGGCAGCTCTGTTCCGCGCCACGCCGCCGCCCAGCGCCCCCGAGCCCGCCCCCGCCCCCGCCCCCGCCCGGGCCGCGGCGGGCGGCCGACAACCGTCGGCCAGCGGCGACGAGTTTCACGACGCCGACGATGGCTCGGAAGGCGCTTCGACGGCGACGACGACGACAGCGGCAAATAAAGCACGTGACGTCAAGCGAAGTTCCGTCGCGGACGTTGCACCGAGTCCCTCAAAGGGAGAGACTGTTGAGAATGGGGTCCAAACCCGGAGTCGGCTCTCTGGCGTGCCGAACGGTGTGGACGCGGAGGCGTGCGTGAGTGATGTGACATCTACCGTTGGAGATGGGAAACAGAAGTGCTGTGATGCGACCGAAGGGCCGCGCGCGTTGCCGATGGAAAGGCGAACCGATTCGGAGGTGTAAGTATGGCGTTTTGCCGATCATTTGGCATGTTGATAAACTGCTTGAATCGCTCTAATAACAATAAAGGCATGATCTATGTTTTGTGTAGTTTGTCGAACACCCATACAGCCACCTTTATCTCCCTAGATTAGACGAACCCAATTTTGCACGATCCACAATTTAGCATTTTAGAGGACTTACGTCCAAACCTACGATGAAAGTTGACGCTGTAGGAAGACAGTTTTTCAATCTCAGTATGTAGACGGCTCATCTTTCAAAAGTAGCGAAACAGCCCGGGACAAAAAGAACGCATTTAATAAAAGGCACACCTAGGGGCTTCCCATGACCGCGGCGGCTTTGTTCCCCTGCCAAGTGACGTCATCAGTGTTGACTCACGTGACGTCACCGTGTTCCGGCAGGCCGCCGCCGCTGCCTGCCAAGAGGCGCCAGCTGACGGGCGTGACGTCACCGCCGGGCTCGCTGCAGCGGCGCACAGGTGCGGACGCCCAGCTGGATAAAGGTGCGTGACTTCGCTGCGGAGAATGGAATGATAGGACAGGATTCAGGGCGACCCTGCTTTGAGATTTTCCGCGTCTTATTCCGTTTTATCATAAATCAATATGGCATCGAGATAAAGTTACACTGAAGAATTGTGCTCTTGTCAAATTTGCCAAGGTCAATTTGTCATCAAGCTGTGTAATTTATATGCTAATTTTAGCTGATTTTTGCTCGGTTTTATTAGTAAGATGCTCCAGACGCGCTCAGATTTTTTTTTAAATCTAAATGTACGCCCTTTTTCCTTTTTCAGAGCGGGATCCCAGCTCTGCACCAGGTGGCGGCTTCACTCAGCAGACCCTAGCCCGCGAGCGCTCCCCACCAACCGGCACCGTACCCTCCTTGCCAGCGTTCTCCCCTCCCCTCCCTACCACTCCAGACCCTTCAACCGCTGTGGGTTCGACACATACTGCCGAGACTGGATCCACGGTAGAACAGAACGGTCTACTGACGGTGCGGGATGGAGCCTCTCCTCCGCCACCACTGCCTGCCAAACAGCGCTCCCCGAGCTCCCTGAGGCGGCGTGACACGGTGGAGAAAGCAAGGAATGGCATCGACCAGCTGACAGCGGGGCATGTGTCATCGAGACAGGTGTCATCAAGTCAGGTGTCATCAGGACAGTCGTCATCGGGACAGGTGTCATCAGGACAGTCGTCATCAGGACAGTCGCCTGCCAGACGCGTATATCCGGAGCCAGGTGGCGCGTCGCTCAAGCTACCGGGCATCGCCGCGCTGGTACTACGAGAGGACGGAACGCCCATGAATGCTATGCCGACGGGAAGCGGGGCTAGGACGGCAGACGTGACAGTGTCGTCTATGCAGGGTGCAACTGCGCCCTCCATGGCGGTGCCTGGAACGAGGACGGAAGGTGATTTTGGGGACAGGAAAGGTCCCAGCGGATCTCGCCCATTTCAGATGACGAATGGTGTAGCGTATGGTGACCGAGGACCGGTAGGTAGCCAGAATTCGAAACTGGCCGCCGTTAAAACCTCGACTATTCAATCGTCTATGAAATCTGATTTGTCACCATTTACAACGCAGAAGGCTATTACGGGTCTGGGTGATCGCACCAGTGCCTACATTTCTCCCATTTCGTCGACCGCTTATCTTGATTCTAACGATACTTACAGTAGTCCACCAACCTCACCCGCGCCATCCACATCTTCCACTGCCTTTGCCACGTCCTCATCCCCCTCAGCATCCACATTTCCTGCCTCCACTCCCGTCCCCGCCAGTCGGAACACAGCTGACTCCGTTGCGACAGTGATGACGGCCATAGTGCCTGATATGCACTCCGAACCAATGAAGGCCATATCAATGGCCGCCTGCACAGCTGTGAAGGTGACCAGTCCCCCAGCTACACTGATGGCGCCAGGTGTGGCTGAAGTTACAGGACAGTCGAAGGTGGCGTCTGACGTCGCAGTGAAGCCAAAGGCTGCTATATCGGATGTCAAGACTCAGTCAAAGTCGGTGGAACCACCCCATGGAACTGTTCCTCAGCATAATAATTGTGGCGTCAGGGAAACTGCATCAGTGGAAGGGAAGAAACATGCGGGTGAATCGTTAGCTGGAAAACAATCACCAGAGGAAGCTTCGGCGATAAATGGTATGCTGTATGGATCGGAGAAGGTTTTGGCAACGAAGGCAGAGTCATTCAGGAGCTCTGATGTACTACAGAGTCCTGGTTTAGTGAGAAGCGTAGTGAGCAGTGTCACGGGTAAGGTATCTACTGATGCCTCTTCTACTGCCAAGGAAGAGAATGTTGCTACTGCTGCTAGCAATGCCGAGAAGGCCGGCAGTACATCCCCTCTGAATGTTGCTATTCCCGACAAGAAAACGCCAGTCCCGAGTGGTAAAGTAGCCTCTCCGGTCTCCCGCGTCCCAGTTGCGACTTCTCGGTTAGCGAACTCTTTTGGGAAGAAGGCAGAACCTTCTACCGCCTCCAAAGAGGTGGATGTTAGACCCAAGACGCCATTTTCCACTGCCAAAGCTACTGGCTCGCCAGCAAAGACGACAGCGATCTCAAAAACCGTCGCCGTTACCAAGAATTCATCACCAGCTGCTAAAACGGGCACAGACGCCTCCCGATCTCCATCAAGTTCTTCAGCATCGTCATCAGGTGTTGAAACAGCAAACGCTAAACCCACCACAACGACCGTCCAGGCTTCATCCTATTCCAAAACCACCACACCCACCACCAAGACCTCGCCTCAAGTCACCAGGACGACAGGAGTCAGCTCTAAGTCCTCGCCGACGGCCAGCCGCCGAGCGGGGGCGGGGGCGGCGGCGGCGGCTCGGGCGGTACGCCGTCAGTCTTCCGGCTCTGTCCTGGAGAAGGTGGCGCTCTTCTCCTGTGGAGGCGGAACTGCAAGCGGAAGCGGAAGCGGAGGCGGTGGCGGAGCTACAAGCGGAAGCGGGAAGACAGCGCCTTCCGCCGGTGCGGTACCCAACTCCAACTACGCGGCACATCTGGAGGCAATGCGGCAGCAGCTGGTGCCGAACGCCGAGCGGTTCGAGTGTCCGGTCTGTATGCTGGACGTGGAGCCGACGGCCGGCGTGGTGCTGAGGGAGTGTCTGCATACGTTCTGCAGGTGAGAGGGATGGAGAGAGAGAGAGAGAGGGGGGAGAGAGAGAGAGGGATGGGAAGGAGGGAGGGAGGGAGACAGCGACAGATAGACTACACGATGATAACGATTATTTTCCCCGTTATCCAGTCTTACATCAAAAGTTGCGTTTCAGAAAGTGATTTCTGGCTTAGTATTTTCACAGTGATGTGGTATTAATGTGACTGATGTGCTCGCCATGCTATATAGAAAACGTATGCTGATAAGAAATTAATCATACTTACCTGTGCTTTCTTCTTTTATTGGGCTCGTTAGTGCCTCACAGCCTCTATGTTGTGACCTTGGTGCTTATTCACCCCTTCCCGCCATTCCGTCTTCAGGGAATGTCTGGAGGGCACAGTGACCCACAGCGACACAGCAGAGGTCAAATGTCCCTACATGAGCTCGGAATATAGCTGCCAGAGTCTTCTACTGGAGATCGAGATCAAAGCGGTAAGTGAGAGTCTGGATGATAAAATGGAACTACCCGCTGTAGCGGCTTGATTCGGCACGTATTTTTTATGAGTAGGTACTTACGATTGCTGGTATTTTTACAGGAAGCGTGATACGATATCTGCGCGGAGGCGGTCAGCATTAGTGACCGTTTTGTAAACTGGGCAGTGTATTCTACTTGTATTCCTGCTCATAGATGGCATTAGCTTTCGGCGCCTGAAGGTGTATACTGTGCCGCAATACATGCAGTTGCCGGCCCCAGTCCACGCGCCGCTGCTGTTGCAGTGCTGGTTTTTTCGCCGCTCGCTAGATGTCGCCGGTAGTCTGCGCCTGGAGGGATAGGCTGTACCGCATTACCTCGAACTGAACGAGAGCTGTGTTGAGCGGCGGCGAAGGAAAATAATGTTTCCACCGCTTGTAAAGCCGCTTTTCGCGGCGATAGATCGCTTTGATATGTCGTTTGTACCCCATATGAAGTTTTTTATCCAGCTGCTGTCACTTTACGCGCTATATTACCCGCTAGTTAACAGACGCCATTGCCGTCGCATTTCCACCCCTCCTGAATGCGACATCGTGAAAGCTCTTCCCCACATCGATCTAAATAGTGGATCATGAACCGGAAGGTTAAACACCTTCCTTCCCCGCCCTCAGCTGGTGAGTCCGGCTGAGTACGAGCGTCATCTGGCCCGCTCTCTGAACCACGCCAAGGCCAACGCGTCCGACTCGTTCCACTGCCGCTCCCCCAACTGCACCGGCTGGTGCGTGTTCGAGGACAACGTCAACGTCTTCAACTGCCCCGTGTGCCGGCGACCCAACTGTCTGACGTGCAGGTGAGGGGAGGAGAGACGTTGGTGGCGTGCAGACATGTGCATGGATCCGAGCGATGGATCTATGATCTCAGTGGATCTTGAAGCAAACTGCAGGTAAGGATCTATGATCCCATCGGATCCGGCGTGAAAAATTCATCTTGGATCTATGATCTCATACGATCTGACGATAAATCAAGAACATGGATCTATGATCTGAGTGGATCCCACCATGCACAACATTTGAAACCATGTTTTGAAGGGTTTCTGTGTCAATAAGTGCCACAATATTATGGATTATGACGTGCGAGCACATATACTCACTAAACCAGAACGTTTATGAGTTGCAACAAGTGTTTTTGGGGGATTTCTGTGTTGACAAAAAAATAAGTGAGGATCTATGATCTCACTGGATCTCAAGCAAAACATGAGACTCGGATCTGTGATCCCTACGGATCTCTCCATAAATTTGAGAGCTGGATCTATGATCCCGTCGGATCCGAGATCAGGATCCGTGGGATCAGATCCCAGATCCATTTTCTCGGATCCATGCTCATGTCTGGTGGCGTGGAAGGGCGAACGTGAGTGGTGTGTGCAAAGTGCTGGGTACAGAGTGCAGAGGGCTGGGCAGCTTTGTGTCTAGTCAAGTCAGTGCAATAGGAACAATTTAGTCTGCTCTTTGTCACACTATCTCATTGTGACAAGAGGAAGTTAAAGTTTCACGCTAACGTTTTGATATATTTCATGACAGTGATGCCATTTGCCTGGTAGCCATTCCTCTTATTACCTACGGTCTTGTACCATGTTGACTGTTGAACGAAGCTCCGATTCCTTCACCGTCCTTTGCTGAGCTGACCTATTATTGTCGTCCCCTGCAGGGCCATTCACGAGGACTGTGACTGTAAGACGTACCAGCGGCGACTGCAGGATGAAGCCGAGACCAGTGAGGACGCCAAAAAGACACAGCAGTATCTCGATGTGAGTCCGACCCAGACTCTGTAACTTTGATATTTAGTCATTGACTGACCACTTTCTTACGATGAATTATGCGTTTTATCAAGATGTATCGAGAAGTTTGCCAAGATAAGAATATTACTAAGATAGATATTCCAAGATTATAACTAATAGTTGCATGTAGCTCTTTCAGATATTCAGTCGGTACCTGATGAAATTGAAGAAAATGTGTGCACGCTTTCCCGCCCTTTTCACAATCATCTGTCTATTTTCAGGACATGGTATCCCGTGGTGACGCGCTGCGCTGTCCCATCTGTGACGTCATTCTGATGAAGAAGTGGGGTTGTGACTGGGTGCGATGCTCCATGTGCAAAAACGAGGTGTGCTGGATCACGGCCCAGCCACGCTGGGGACCTGGGGTGAGTACGCAGCACTCGACTGTCCGAGATCAAACCGGATCAAACTGGATCGGGACCGGAAAATTAACGTTTGTCAACAAGGACTGGATGGGGTATGTCCTTTAGCGTATTCAAGGTTTGATTTTGCGTTATAAGATCTTTTTATCAAGTGATTCATTTATAATATGAATAACTTAGCATGCTGGCTGTCCGGCAGCGATTTTGATAAGAGTGTCGTTTAACAGCCCACGATTCAAGGCCAGCCGCTAGAAAGAGATCGTTTTTAGTTCATAAAATTGCATATATGCTAGACGCTATTTTGTTTACAATAAACGTAAATCGAGCTGCTACGAGTTCAAGCTAATTGGCGAATAATTGATAGAATTGCATTTGTTTCGTCCTCAATTATACATGAATGAAATAACAAATAAAAAGCTGAGACCAAATTTATTTTACAATTTGTTTACAACTTGTTTGCCTAATTGTTCGAATACGATTTAGTAATAAACCAAGCCTGTCTTTCAAGAAACCTATGCACATTTCCATCTCAAAATCGAATATCTACTTTCCAGGGCAAAGGAGACATTTCTGGCGGATGCAAATGTGGTGTGAACGGAAAGAAATGCCACCCGAAATGTGTTTACTGCCACTGAGCCAAGGCACTGAGCTAAGGTGCGTTTTCGTAGTAATTGGTGAATCTAGTACTGGGCATTATCGTCCATAAATGATTAAGGGCGAAACCGTTATCGTTACGGTTCTGTTGTCACCTATCGTGTGTGCGCGAGGTGCCTTTACTGTGCTTTCACTTGTTGCCAAACTGCTGATTGTGTGTCATTGTGGGTAAGAACGACGCTTATTGTACAAGATAACGCTGCCAATGATCGTCGAATTTACCAAATATAACATTTTTTGTACCAGAATTGTAGCTGTTTGCATAATTGTCAGCTGACTTTGGTTGATACTGATAGCCTTGACATGGGAGTGGCTCAGAGCTAAGTGGCTAGTGGTGGCTAGAGTGGCTAGAATGCTAAGATATTCTATTATACGCTCTCTTCAAAAGTCCTCCTTACCCTGAATAAGTCTCTGACAAACAAAACGTCTTTTCCATCGTCTCCTTCGTCCCGAACACACAATGTCAAAGTTCGATACTTATATTTAGCACTGAAGACATTGACAGCACAGGTCTAAGTTTGTGGCGTGTAGTTGTTACAAGAGATGAAACATTTAGCACGACTTCTTCTTCTTCACAACACGGCGTTTCTTCGGTTTCGGCGCTCCGCAGGCACGAGCCTTGGCCTTACGTGAGCTCGACCTCTTCTTCTTGACCCTCCTCGGCTTTGCTCCGCAAGCTCCTCCAGATTTCTTGGAGTGGGACCTCCTCTTCGATCCTTTCCGTCCAGCCTTCTTCGAACCCCTGGACTTGCTGCGTCCACGGCTCGATCCTTTGCTTTTCCTATCGCGCAGGGGCCATATTTTCACATCGCTGCCATGAATATCCAGCAGGACCTTCTTCATTTTCCCATCACTGCAGGATTTTGAACGCCGAATCATTGCGATGATTCGGTAAAAAATAAAATTAAACTAAAGAGTCAGGTTTTTGCTCCTATGACGATTCAATTTAGCCTGAAACTGAAACACTTTTTGAATTTTTGATGTCTCGTGAAATACAACAATGCTTATGCGTGAAAAATATTGTTTAGGTCTCACGTTTAGCAGAAATTGTACCACTACCAGACAGATTCTTTTGGCTAAAGAATATGTGTTCTCATTTTCTATAGAATTTTGAAAACAGATGCATACCTTTAGTCACATTTTGTCCTTTTTAGTTGCCTTTTGGTTCATACATGGTATAATGTCTGATAACTGTGTTTGATACCTAGAATGCTTTCTATAATAACTGAACGCCGAGTACAGCTTGTTTCAGGGCACTTGATTGTCGAAGCATAATTTTCATCGTGGGGAGCCAGGAGGTGTAATTTTGTATTCTTCTTCTTTCATCATGTTACTAGAAACTTGTGTAACCGGGTGTCATAGATCGGTGTTAAAAGAGATTAACACTGGACGTGGCTGCATAATTGTCCTTAGGTATTGTTTCGCTCCAATAAGGGCTAAGGCTGCCGTGATTGTATCAACTTTCAATCGGTTTGATTAGGTACGATTTACTGTGGTTATGTTCCCATTCATTGTGGACTAAATGATGATGTGCCACGATTTCCTTATGCATCCCAGCCGAAGGCAATCATTGGTGCTGGGGCGGGATTGTAACTTTGTATTGACCAGCTAACACATCGGCGCATACCACTCCGTCACACATAAAGCCAAGAATGAAAGAATCACCGACATGATGTCGGCCACCAATCTGACACACGCGTCACAGTGGCGTCACGCGCGTCACACAGGCCGACGTGGCGCTCGGTGGCACACCTCTGAAGGGGGGTCCCGTTCAGGCGGGTCGAGCGCGACTGACGCGAGCAGTTTACGGAATGCAGATTCAGACGAGCCGACTCGCCACACCCGGTGCAACAGTGCGCTCTCACGCTCGACTAGTTCACCGTGAAGTGTGCTGCAAGTGAGCTAAGCTAGATTCCATGATGTTGGCGATTAAAGGCTGGCGAATATAAAGGAACATCGGACCAGTGAACCGTTTAGCGCCGCAACTGGATCACCGACGAGTAAAGCAACAACAAATCACTGAATCGATCGGCTCAGGTCAACTCAAATGAGAAAAACTCAGACAAGTGTGATTGGAACATGCATGTTTTGTCACATTTTGATCGTTTGATACCTTATTGTGCTGGTAACGAAATTGAACGTAAATATCAGATGGCATTGAGTTACAGCCCTATTCTAACCGATGACAATGGTTTGCTATTAACAGCAACATGTAACTTTGTGTTTCAAGCTCTTTGTACAGGGTATTCTTGGCTATACAAAACATCGATTCAACATATAATATAGAGGTATGATTACAATATGTACAGGCATTTCAACCATTCAGTCAACAGCAGAGCCACACCTACACCAGCACACATATTGAGGGGTCGCTGACTTCAAGATAGGTAGAGCTTTGGGCAAGGATCACACTCTGACATCTGTTGGGCAGTCTCGGAAAAGCGATGCCCTGTGTCAAATTGGCGTGTTCTGCACCAACTTATACTGTGTTGGAGCATTTATAGCTTTCCTCCTGCCTGAAACCATGAAACTGACAGACCGTCAGCCAACATGAGGCCCCGAATTTGATTTGCCACTCATATCTCGGCAGAATCTACAAGGTCTTTCGTGGAAATTCTGATGGGTACCTAGCTGCTTAAGCGTGCTTTCACATTATCATTCGGTGGTTGGTTCCAAAACAGCTCTTATCATTCGCCTCAGCTGGGATCCTCCAGCCGTCTCGCGACACCCTCTATAATTCTGGATCAACAGCAACTGAACAAGCATTTCAAACATCCTCCTCACGCACCGTTCAAACAAACATAAACAGTAGCACCAAACTCACCTGGTGCCGCAGAATCGGCACCAGCGCACGCACCACACACTCACGAGCAGCACACACGTCACCAGTACCTCCGCTAGCCTAGATAGGGGTCGGCATCACCGTAAAGTCATGGATGGCCGCCTTCATAGTTTCATAAATCGGCCGGTACTCCTCAGTGGCGCCACCGTCGCCATACATTCCGTGAAGCCGTGTGAAGTACGAGTCGAAGCCGGGGGGCGCCAGCCGCTCGGCGGAGCTGGGGGCCTTCACGTGCTCTAGCAAGGAGATCATGTTGGTCCGGAAGGAGTCGTAGTAGTCGTTGAGCGCCGTGCCGCCCTGGCCGACCGGGGCAGCCGGGTCGGCCACCTGTCGGGGAACGGCGAAGTTAATAAACGAGCGCTGGGACAAGGTGAAAGCTCTAAGACGCATGTGAACTCGTGAACTTGTTTATGAACTCGTGAAGGACTTTGTTTAGATCAGGTGGTCATGTAAACATGGTTTACCAACTGAACTGAAAGTTTCTCTTGGATGTTCCACCGCGGTGTTGAGTGTGTCGAAAAAAAGGTAACACGTTACTGGTCCAAAGAGTTTCTGCGAAGCCGGCTCTATGATATCCGTGCCACTCACCCGGTTGTCTTTGATTTGGGTGGCCGTGACGGAGAGCCCCGTGCCGTCGGCGGCCGTCGCCGACAGTTTGGTGGTGTCTCCTCCGGGGCGGGCGGTCGCGCCGGCAGCCGCCGCCTCGCCACTCTGAGCCGCTGGAAGAAACGGACAGAGTGTCCGAGTGTTAAACAAGATTAAGAACATGCACTAAACTATGCCAGATCAATCGAATCTAAGCCGCATTAAAAAAAAAAAACAAGAGGCTTATATGAAGGTCTCATCTCGTGATACTTAACATCGTTAATGCCTCCATGCCTCAACTGTCAGAATTTTCTTTCCACTCACCAGACGAGCCCCGTCGCCCGGAACCATCTCCTGAGGTCTTTTTCGTGCTGGCTGTGATAGCAGGCGGGTAGGAGCCGCCCATGTAGGGTGATCCGAACCCTGCTCCGCCCATGTAGGAGCCCATTGAGATGGAGTTGATCATCCCCAGACTGGAGTAGGAGCGGTCGGAGGCGCCCGATGCGTCCAGAGAGCGTTTGTTGCGGTTGGCCACCGGGCAGCCAGACGCGCTGCGGAGGGAGGGCCTCTTAGTGGAGACACTCAAAAGTTCATTCTTTGTGAGGTTGTCAAGCTGAACTTCAGCGATTGATCAACGTGAAATAGAATCCTCGAATAAACGACAGAAAAAACTTATGTCAAGTCACAATGACACGGCACAAACAACATCAGTGTTAAGCGTCTGTCTGATAGGCATAACGTTCGACCGCTGAGCTCTGAAACATATATATTTGAAACTCGTCCCAACTGACCTGCGGTGACTGAGGAACTTGCCAGTCACGTGACCTGATCCGTCACAGCCGGGTACCGGACACCTCAGAGGCTCGCTGTCCTGGCCGTCCCGGCGTCCCTTGGGCTTGTTGGCTCGCGGACATCCGGACAAACTGGCGGACACGCGGACAGCGGTCAGTTCGGACACATGGGCTGACAGACACGTAAGGTCTGGTAAAGGCTCAGTCGGCCACAACTGATCTCTCACAGCACATCATCACCCGTGTAAACCCTTGGATCTCGCTGCCTCGGCTGCCGCGGCGGCTTACTGCGAGATATACTGTACCGCCGAGCTCTGGTGTTCTGCGGGCTAGCCTATGTAGCGCCACAGTCCGCTATTCTCCGACCGCTCGGCCTTTTGGCGTCTGCCTAACGTCTGAGCGCTACCGACCGTCACCCACTCACCTCCTATGCGTGGCGTAGTTTCCAGTAGCATGGCCCATGCCGTCACAGCCGGGCGTAGGACAGGAGATGAGTTCACGGCCGTCCCTGCCGCGAGGGCGCGTGTACGTGAACGGGGTGGACCTGCCGGGAGAGACGGCACCCGTGGTCTCTCTCTCCATCTCTGTCTCTCTCTTGGCGAACATTGGACAGGGATGGGAAACATATGGAGCAGGGGCACAGGCAAACATACAGAACATACAGAGGCATGCAACACTGATCATTGAGATTGAGATAGAGATAGTCGGTGACGAGGAACAGGTCTAAAATGAAATATTAAGCAATTAACTAAAGTGGATTAAGACAGAGCTGTCCTAGAGCTGCATGTCTCGCAACATTCTGACGTCTTTGATGCATTTCTATAATGTTGCTTATGTTCTTCTATTTCTAAGTTAATGAAATTCGTTTTTGGCTATTAACTATCCCTTTCGGGATGGTGGCGTGGCAATCCATACACCAAAAGCCAAACATTTTAGCACCGCGATCGCAGCTGAATTACTTGAAGGTAATGGGTGCACATGAAGCTGTCAGTATACCTCAACAGAATGGTCGTCACTTGATAAAAAAACACCACCACCCCCTCCTTCCATATATCGCACTCACACACACGGACACAAAAGCACCTCAAGCACCTGGGGGCTCTCTCAAACCATTCATCCCCCACCCCTCCGGCGCGCCTCCCCGCCACTCACAGGTCTCGCTGCAGCGTGTCGGCTCCGGCGGGCGTCAGCGGCTTGCCGGCCGTACCCACGGAGTACGGCACAGAGTACGGCGAGTACGCCGTCGCCGGAGCGTAGTTGGCCGAGTACGCCGCGCCGTAGTCGGCCGCGCCGTACCCGAAACTCTGGTACGCGGCGCCGTTGTAAGTGGCGCTAGCGTCGTATGTTGGTCGGTGGTAGGTCAGCGAGGTCGAGTATGTTGCTGTGGAAGGAGGGTCGAGTGAGTGGACTGGGCACGACATCTGGGTCACTCAGCAGGGGCGGGGTCAAATGATCCCCCAGAATGTGACGTCTGACTGACACTGACAGAAGTGTGCAACAATACCCCTCCCCTTTGGCTCGGCGGCTCTCTCTCTCCTTCTCTCTCTCTTTCTCTCTCTCTCTCTCTCTCTCTCTCTCTCTCTGTCTCTCTCTCTCTCTCTCTCTCTCTGTCTCTCTCCTCTCTCTCTCTCTCTCTCTCTCTCTCTCTCTCTCTCTCTCTCTCTCTCTCGGACTCACGAGTGAGCGTACCGCGGTACAGGACGGTCTGTGAGTCGGTGTACTCGAGCGTCTCTTGGTACGTCGGTTGAGACGCAGCGGCGGCGGCCGCCGCGGCGACGACCGTCGGGTCCTGGGCACCCTGCGCGTCGCTCGCCACAGAGAGGTGACTGGAGCTCACTGGTGGTGCCTGCGGCTGCGGCGGCTGCTGCTGTTGTTGTTGCTGTTGTTGCTGTTGGGCCTGTTGGTGTTGTTGGTGTTGCTGTTGTTGATGCTGCTGCTGCTGTTGTTGGTGGTCTTGTGGCTGTTGCGTCATCTGCTGCTGTTGTGACGTAGCCGCCGCGTAGTCGTCTCTTGAATACATCACCTGTAAAGGCATTGGCATATCGAGCTTGGTAGAGAGGAGGCTCTCTCGATTATATCTCCGAAAAAAACTTTATGCCAACCAAAGCAAGCTTGTATAGTGTATATGAAACAAGAATGATATCTCCCATGGGCGTAGGAACGGCTGGAACATTGTGGGTGCATGGGTGCAGAAATCCAGCCATGCCCATGGCCGGTGAAGCGGGGGGGGGGGGGGTACGGAGCGACACCCGAGCGAAGGCTCGTTACGAGCTTTGGGGGTGTACCATGTCGAAAAGGTACCGACCGATAAGTGCATTTGGAAGCATTAACCCTCGCATGTGTAGGGGGGTCGGATGGACCCCCCGCCCCCCCATGGTTTTTCGCAAATAACTCGCGCAAAAAGCGGCCGATCGCGACGAAACTTTAAGTACCCTCGAGTTGATCAGTTTTACACCTACTCTGAAAATTTTCACCCTGACCCAAAAGACCTTTGACCTGTGACCTGATTCTCGAGACCATATTCGGCCGGAATCGCGATTTGGCGTATGTCAGCTCACATCCTATCCGCGCGTTTCCAATCTTTTTGTGATTGTAGACGTCCAAACATGTGAAATGATGTTCGTCCCATGCATCACGATGGGTGTGAAGGTCACCTGAAGGTCAGGTCAGGTCATTGACTTTTGATGACCTCGGCTCACTTTTTCGAGTTTTGCATGCTTCTAGGGTAGTTTTTCGGACTGATTTCGAATTTAGCATCCATTTGAACGATTACGAAGTAGTTTTAGTGCCTTCGTAACACGCTACGACGCCGTCAGTGGTAGTTGACACCTACTATGGATAGCCGGTAGGACGCCTAATGGTTGACCTGACCTGACCTGACCCGATCTGGCCTAAATGCCTAAAGAAATCATCTGTGATCAAAACTAACATGATATTCGTGATCAGCACCCCGAAAAAAAACGATAACAGCTTCACTTTACGCAGTTCTAGCAGGTCCCGCTTTTCCCGACTTTTGGAACATTGCCCTGACCTGGAAGGTCAACCAATGACCTAGGACCTTTAAATTGGGTATCATCGGCTTCCTCTCGTCACGGGCAACACCCTCGTTTTTTCTACGAAGCTCTAGCTCGATCAGGGGCCGAACGGCAGGGGGTCCAACCGACCCCCCCCCTCCCCCTACACATTAGAAGCTGGAAAACGCCGCACACATGCGAGGGTTAAAGGGAGATAATGACCTTTTTCCACAAAATCTAAGTTAGGACCATTTTCTGACAAAACACAACAAGTTATAATGTAAATTAAAACCATTTTGCTCAATTCGGTACCTTGCCGCAAATATCTCAACTTGAAGTCACGCTAGCGGGGAGCGCTGAAAATGACCGTTGAATAAGTACTTACATCACTTTTTGGTACTTGCATGTAATTTTGTAAAATGAGCGTATTCCTTACATTTGATCTTCATCACATCTAGTTAGTTAATGGTCGTCTATAGTGCCTTCAAAAGATATTCATGGTTTGGGGGTGGTTTATATCTAAATTTACGCAACTATTTTTCCTGTTCATCATCTGACGCCATATGCTGCTATTTTAGTAGCAACGACTCAATTTTGAATCGGTCCCGCCGACTGCACAATAAAAGAAGATAGATACAACACTTTTGCGGCATCACTGAAAAACTTATGCAGTACTGTTATCAAAATTCTCATAACACCGTTCGACAAACCTGAAGTCTTTTTGAAATAAATATGCTTGTATTTTTCGCTTCAGGCTCTGACGCCAAAATAATGAATTTCGTAGTCGCAATCCCAAGATTTGGCTGCGTTTCTGGCGCATGCCGTTCATTTGTGGCGCAAAATAATCCTATTACCTACTTGGAAACAAAGAAGAGTAGGCACTATGTACCCCCGAATTAGAATCTAATTAATTCTAAACCGAATTAACTCTAATTCAAATTAGAATCCTTACAACCAAGCAACGACAAGGCGATAACATAAACAAAAACCCAAGCGTCGCTGTTTGAAACAAAAGCGCCATATACTGTGACTTTTTTATAGAGAAGGACAACGCATTTCGGTGGGTGTTACAAGTACTGCAAGTACTGCTTCTTTTTTGCAAAAATAAAAACCTTTTTCACATACGAAAATGTGCTAGGAAATTTTCATATTTTATAGAAACTACAGTAGAAATAGTATAGATGTCGAGTAATTTTTATTTAAGAAAAAAAAAGCTCATTATCTCCCTTTAATATTGTCAATGCCTATTGACTACCGCAAAAAGTAAAAGCGGCCAACTTAGCCATTTTTTAAGATATCGAGCTAAAATTTTTGACAGTGGGTCATCGGTTCGGTATGTGTTCAATCACGTGCTCCATTTCCCTTTTTTTCTTCAGCACAATTATGTAAGTTTTGAAGAAAATCACAATGGCAATTGCTTCGAAAGATGGATAGTGGGCAACATATCCTGAATTTGCCGTGCTGCATGGGTGATGGGAAGTATGTTGATGAGAAAAGGGTTTTTTTTGGCTCAGATTATTGTGGGTGCAGAATACATTGTCTGCACCCACTGGAGAATTATTGTGGGTGCAGCTGCACCCTTGCACCCATGGTTCCTACGCTTATGATATCTCCAGACTCCAATGAAAATAAAGCCAAGCCGAATATTTGTCCTCACCTGATTGTGTGTGACACACTCCATGGCGCGCCCGAGGCTGAAGTCGACCGGTGAGTTGTTTGAAAAGTCCACCGGTTCCGTTTGCTCGCCGAATGACGACTGGGACTCGACCCTCGGAGGCGGGCTGTACGCCGGGCTGCTGGGGCTGAAAACGGAGAAACAGGGTGGAACTTAGGGTGAAGTGTAGACTAGAGCGAGATGAACGGGATGTACTTGCAAAGTGGATTTGAACCGGTCGATATAACTACCTCATTGACGGAAGTCAGAAAAGCGTCGCAAAAACATGGACTAAGGACATGTATATCGGTGTGTAGACATTTTCACATTTTTAAGTGATCGGCCCGCGGCCGTCCTCTCCACGTTCTCAGCTACCTCCGAGATCCTGATATACTTTGCGCGACCCTATCACTCTTTGAGCACTCCCGTTGCTCTCTTCACGGTCCGATCATCTTACCCGAGCGCCATCTGCTGCCTGGGCATGGTGAGGTCGAGAGTCTGGTTCTGTGGACTACCAAGCTGAGGGCTGGATCGACCGTGTGGGGAGGTGCCGCCCACACGGGGACTGGTCGCTCCCTGAGGGCACACAGGTTGCAGGTCAGATGGAGTCATTCACGGAACGGATAAGGGTGTCTTGATGTGGGTATCATTCTTTGCCTGTCGGGTAGTGAATCGTCTCTTACAGTAGGCATTGTCGACAACGACCAGCCTTTTCGGGGAGGAGTTTGACAACGACAAGATGCGGCAACTCTGCCAACGTTTCGTCTCAAGACTTTCTCAGACATATGCAATCACGAGGTGCTGCCGCCTTCCCTGTCCGCCCTCACCTGGACCGGCTCGTAGGCAGCTGGGGGCATCAGCGCCGCCTCCGGGTGGTACCGTTGCTCCGGGTACACCTCGTACCCGCCGTACCCGTTCATCGAGTACAGCGACGTCATCGACGACATCACCGACACCTGCTGCAGAGCCGCCGTCGGCGCCAGCGGCGATGGATGACGCACCGCCGGCGTCATCACGCTGGGCGTCATCAGTGCCGCCGTGGCCGTGGTGTAGGTGTAACCGCCGCTGCCCGCCGCCGCGGAGGGCTCGCGTGACGTCATTGTGACGTAGGAGGCGGGTGGTAGGGGCTGTAGTGACCGCGGCGGAGGTGCAGAGTAGGGTAGCGAGGTGGCCAGCCCGGAGGAAGAGGAGGTCACATCGGAGGCGGTCGGCTGCGGCGCGGCGCTTAGCGAGCTGTCTGATGAGCTGTTGGCGACGGGCGGTCAGGGTTGTTAGCGAACAGACAGGGCTATTAGTGGATGGGCGTTTGGTCAGACTCTTAGAGTGTCAGCGAATAGATGGGCGGTCGGGGCTGTCCGACTGTCAGCGGACAAGGCAGTTAGCAGCCGGGACTGTCAGCGGTCAGCGGCTGTCAGTAGACAGACGGGCGGTCAGAGTGGTCAGAGGACAGATGGACGGTAGGGTTGTCAACGGACAGACATTTGGTTAGAGCTGTCAACGAACAGAATAGCTGCCAGCGGACAGTTGGGCGGGCGGACAGGGCTGTCAGCGGACAGACGCTGTAGGGCAGCGGTCGGACTGTCGGAAGGACAGGGCTGTTGGACGGACTGCCAGCGGACAAGCCTGTCAACGGTCAGGGCTGTCAGCGGACAGAAAGAGCTGCCAGCGGATAAACGGGCGGTCAGGGCTGCCGGATAGTCAGCGGACAGGGCTGTCATCAGACATACGGGTGGACTGTCAGCGGTCAGGGCAGTCAGCGAAAAGACTATCGGGGCACAGACGGGTGGTCAGGGCTGTCACACGCCGGATGTCAGCCGCCAGAACAATGGTTCGCCTGTCAGACCGTAAGTGGCGAGCGGTAAAAGTTTAGCGGACGTTGTCAAAACGTCTCATTGTTGGACCAACTTTTCGGCAGCTCGGTCGATAGCGCCGGTTCGGTTCGTGCTCAGAATCTCCGAAATATTGCGGATGTGGCAAAATGTACACAACTTTATAAGCAGCGAGAAATAAATTTCAATAGATTGATGGCAAGCTGTACAACAGGAACAGATTGATAATCGTGATTTAATATCGCGTGCTATGATTTACATGTCACACCGGCATACAATGTAACCAAAGCCCAGGAGAATTAGGAACGAGTGTTGCGTGTAAATCCCCGCTCCTTTCATAGGGATTGTTACACAATGCACCTTAGAAAAGTAATGCATGCAAGATGCAGAAAAGCATGAGCATTAACTGGATCATTACGGAGACGTCCACCTAAAAGCTATTCCACCCAAGGCCGTATATTCCACCCACCTTGCCACGGCGGTTCGGCCGGCCAGCTGCGCTGCCACGTCGTACTGAGCCGCTGCCGCCGGCCGCACCGGCTCCGGCCGCTTATAGAAGTCGCCGTAGTAGCCATACCGCGACTGAGCGGCGTCATACTCAGACCCCAGACCGGTGTAGGCTGACCTAGTCTCTCCGAGCGACCCGACCTGGGGTGCCGGAGGGGCCTCCTGCGCGGCCGCCGCCGCAGCCGCCTGCGCCGCCGCTGCTGCTGCCGCTGCCGCTGCGACCTCCGCGGGCGCAGAGTCCTCCGTTACCATGGTAACGGTCAGGTGGGCCGGTAGGGAGGCTGCTACGGCCGGTAGCTGTGGTCGCAGCTCTGATGTCACGGCCGGGGGCGCTGCACACACCGGTACGGGAGTCACCACGGCGCCCGCAGCCGGAGTCGTTACCGGCGGAGCCGTGGGTGCAGGAGCTGCCGGTGCCGCACGGTCGTTCTTGAGCTCGAGGATCGTACGTGAGCTCTCCTGGTCGTCTGGCTCGAGCAGCACCTGATCATCGGCCACACGCTGCACCGTTTTCTGCTCGCCGAAGTCGTTGCTAAGCCCGGCGAACAGTGGTACGGCGTCTGAGGCCAGCCGACGCCCCTCCGCGTCCAGGGGCGCGAAGGCACCGCCAGCACCCATCTCAGCCTGGCGTCCGGGTGGTAAAGTCGACTTGAAGCCGCTTCCTGTGCACGGGGTCAGGAGCTGTGTCAATAGTCTGGGCCATCGGGCCAAGCAGTAGCTTTTAACTGTGGCCAAGCTATAGGATACGGCTATAGCTTAGTTCTCCCTCTCACCCCCCACCCACATATTGACGAGTGATTTCATGTTAAAATTGGACGATCTCGACCGGGGAACTCAACCGTAGATGAAGGGACAGGGACTGGGCTACCTGTCAGCATTGTTCGTCCAATTTATCAGCCACATTTGTTCATCCTTGTATCATTCACCTATACCTGTCCGCCATCGACCCTATCTATCCTTACCGGCCATCCCAAGAGCTGTCTGGGCCAGCAGGGTTCTGTGCTTCTGTTCCCGGGCGGCCTGCTTGTTGACAGCTGCCAGTGGACAGCCCGATAGAGACCTGAGACAAGATCACCAGTCACTCACGGGGCGAACGTCATCAATCACTGGGTGGTCAATGACACGATATATGTGAAGCTGCGCAGTGCTCACTGCTCAGCTACGAGACATTTCCCGCTGCAAGTTTTAAGTGAAATGCCAAAAAGTAATTAGTTTTACACTTTATAATGAACCAACAAAGATTCCTCAGGCCCATCTATGACCGATTTTAGTTATGACCTGACTTCCGATGTAACTTAAGACTGAACTGACCCCGGATGCGACCTTAATTTGGCTAACTGGTGACTGTGAAGTGTGAACTGTATGTATTTAATTGTGTACGACTCTCGCTGACAGGACCTCAAATGTGACCTTTGGCTGACCTGACCTCAGACATGACCTCCGACTGACCTGTGAGTGGTGCGGCTCGTGCTGACATGACCTCTGCCGCTGCAGCCAGGCGTCGGGCACTTCAGTATCGTCTCGTACTGCGCTAAAACTGTCAGGGAAACGGATTAGTGGAGAGCAGTGAAGAGCACAAACGACCACTAACGTAATCAGCATTGTGACGGTTAGGAAATAAGTAAACATATACTGGCTTCTTCAAAGGATGTGTTACTGTGGATGGCTTTGAAATGTTTGTCAAACTTAGCTTCCAGCGCTTGAGGCTGACCTGTTCACTCTGAAAATTAACATAACCATAAACAAGATGAAAGCATAATGCATGCATGAATTGGGTTCATTTCGACCACGGCACGTATCATCGTAAGAATTGCGCTTACGAAGGGGTCGTACGACACCCACGATTATTATGTCGATGATTCTTATTTATCCCTATATAACGTTTACTACAACGATGTTTATTTGCTAGACTTGCAGGAAAACCATATAAAACAAACATTTCGCTAGGGCTAACAAATAAGAGAGCACGACAATTTAAAAAAAATAAAGAACGATAACTGAAAACAAAATAGCAATGCAGGTGAACCAATGCGCGTCAGCATACACGTATTTTGCTTCTAGCTAATTACGATCTGGTGCATCAAGGTATTTTTAACGTTTTTTTTTTCTTTTGACTTATACAAGGTTGAAGCTAAATAGCAAAATAAATTGATTGAAACTTAACACACGAATAACACAGAACCCGTCCCAACTTACTTTCGGGCGTCACTTTGTCCCTCCTTGGACATCCTGAAAGGCTGCTTGAAAGTAGGGATATTTCTTACAGCACATGAAACACTCGTTTTCGAAGTATAGTGCACGTTCGGTATAATCCGCACTGGGAGCACCCTGCGTACCTATAACGTCCACAGGGATGACCCCGTACCCTACCCTCTATGACTTTACTCTCCCTCTCTTTGTTCCCCTCTTCGCTCCGCCCAGTGGACCCTTTGACGACCCGCCCCCTCGGGGTGACACTGAGACCGTCACGAGCCCAACTTTTCCGCTCGCCAAGTTGAGGTGAGCTCTTTGGGCGGCCGTCCGAACTCGGGCGGCGAATTGGATGGGACGGGTGGCGGAGACAGGTCGTTGGGAGCGGAACCATCGACACCGCTCTGCGGTAATGGAACGCCGCCACTACCGAGCCGGGGAACACCGAGCTGACACCACAGACAGCAACGGATTAACGCAAGGCGTGTGGTGGTTTCGCAGAGACAAAACAGACGTAGAAAGTTTAATGATCAAGCTGCAGCTGGGACGGAGCTAGAGATATACTAGCGACTCTGCCTGATCTACGAGCGGTCATCCAGCATCAATGGGATCAATTGGACATCAATTTTGAGCACTTTAAAACTACTTTCATCTAAACCTAATAATCCTCGCGTCATAATCCTAACAATCCCTAATAATCCCTAGCCCTCTCGTATATCCCGTCCTTATCCGGCCATTGCTATTCTAGCCCGAACAGTAAACCGTCCACGCCCCAGCAGCGCCGGAAGACGGTGGGTTCTTACCTCCTGTGGTGAGAGTAGAGGCCGGTGATGTGTCCGGTGCCGTCACAGCTTGGGGTGGGACACTTGCTGGAGTCTGCAACAGCACAAACACACACGGGTGGTCATGAGTCTGGTCCAAACGGAAGCATATCTGCGATTCTGTATTCTGCAATCTTTGGGACCAAGCGGATGGTCATTTAGGTGGTTAACGTATTAGAGGACAGCATGGAACGTTATATATAAGAAGTGAAGTTTCCTCAATATATTTGCATTCTCCTAAAGAAGTTACATAAAATGGAGTATTTTCTGTAGGTCTCGTAATTCATTCAGTGTATCTTAACTAATTGCTGATGTCTGAGTTTCATTGCTTTAATGTAGTTTAGAGTCCTTGTTGGCAAACTTTGCAGCTATCTCCAAACATAGTTGAGCAAACTATCGCTATTCGCTATCCTGAACAGTGAACAATTCCTAGAAATTTGTCAGGGCTGATCTTGAATGCCGAGAAATCTTGCAACATCCGGAACAATGACAAGTTATGTAATGCCACCCACGTTCGCTGTCTACACATAACGTTAGTTATAATTCCCAGTTTCATCGTTAAGAATAACGATAGGGTCTGCTCTCATACGTAACATTTCTAACGTAACAACAGCGGATGAGCTGCATCGTCTCTATAATCTCTATAATATCCCGCTTTTACAACTTGAGACACAGTATACCACCGCTCATTAGAAACTGTGTTGAACAGTGATTTAGTCCCTGTCTGTCCTTAGGCAGTGGTAATTTGACTTCGGCCGCTGGTGGCCGTCTTTTGGCGGGCGCGGCCGGCTGGGTCGTTAATTATCTCGGAGGTCGGATATACCGTGCTGCAGAGTCGCTGATTACCAGGACGGAGGATTCTGTGCCGAATGACGTCGGACCGAGCTGAGACAGCACGTGAGGTCCTCACTGGACATAGGCGGGACGAGCAGTGAGAGGTCACACTTGGGTTGACGTAAGCTTATGCGTTTTGTTTGCACAAAAATGCTTGAGCACACATCAAACGTAAGGAAAAGAATCTTTCTAAAGATGAGTTCATTCGGAGAAACCTATTAACCTAGCTGCAGAAAAGAATATGCGTGTGGCACGATGAAAACAACCATGAGGCTGAGGCAGTGTGTCAGTCCATATTCCCTTAGAGAGGGCATGCGCCATATGTCTGTCTGTCGGGTTGCAAGTGGCTTCATTCATTCTAAGGTCCGAGTTTCGGAACTTAACTATGTAGGAAGCTTATGTCGAGACAAAGTACTATCCATACTTATGTTTAGAGAGATTCGTCGATAAAGCTACCAATAGAGAAGCAGCTGCTATATTTAAATTATTCGGTCACAGCCACCAGGTTGGAGCTGCATCCACGTGGAAAAATGGAGTGAAAATAAAAACATGGAATGGTATGAAGACTTAACTGACGAGCATGACAGCCCTGAATCATTTGAAGCTTTCAAGAGAGTGTGTCTGCCTCGGCCTATAAATCATTTCTGGTAAGGACTATCAGCGTGTTTCCTTTCAGAGGTTTAAGTCTGACTAATTTCCTGACTAAGTCTGATTAATTTCCATTTCCTTTTGGGATTATTGTCTTTCTTGTCGTTGACCTGTGACTAGATTATCTATTTGCAAAGTTTTAATCAGCTTCACGTCAAGCATCCTTGCTGTCCGTACAAACTTTTTGCTGATCATTAATGAATAACAGCAGCACTCAACATTTCACAAGATATTTTGATAACGGGTCGTAACCCACGAAGTTCCGTATCTAATTCTGTCCCAGACTCAAAGCACAAATATATACCTAACCAGTCCAAACCAAAGGATCCGCCTTTAATTTCAGTTTAACTAAAACTAACACAGAGCTAGCAGAAGCGCTTCCGTCAACTCGACTAGCAAGCTGCCGTTTCTTGATGATCATCAAATACTGAAACGAATGGTATTGCCACTTTGATGTGAACCTCATCCAGGCCCATGGTATTGCCAATAAAAAAAAAACGGCACCATGACCCTGACTCCGGTCCTGACCCTGACTCTTACTCTGGTCTCTGACTCCGACGACAGCTTCGACAATTTTCTTCATAACTGAACCGCCAGTAGTCAGCAATCAGTCTACTGACTCCAACCGACTCCGACTCTCGACTCTATGATTGAACGGAACGGACCGTAACCAGTCATCTGACTCTGACCTATTCCCGGTTCTATAACTGAGCGAACCGTAATCAGGCTTACGAATCTGACTGACTTTAAATGACTGAGTGGACTGTAATCCGTAATCAGTCCTCTGACTCTGACCGACTCTATATGACGGATCGGACCCTAATCAGTCCCCTGACTCTGACTGACTCTGTATGACTGAACGGACCGTAATCAGGCCTCCAGCAGTGCCGTCGATGAGCCGACCCCCTATGCAGATCACCTGACGGCACCGGCCGCCGCTGCAGGCCGGCTAGATTGATTCTCGAATGGCTCGAACTTTGTCCAACTTTCTCAATAACGTCCGATCAATACTAGGTGGCGAGCGACGGCGGCAGCGGCAGTGGCGGCGGGCACGGAGTGAAGTCAGGCTGGGACAGAGACAGTAGCTAGGAGCCAGGGAGAACTGCTCACGGAGAAGCTGATGACACTTGGCAATAGGCATTGGAAGTGGGTTATTCGAGGAGCAGCTGTGATAAATAAGCCATTTTCGTGATAATGTCTCTAGTGGAGCTTTATGGAGGTTCAATTAAGTTTTCAGCTGTGAATAAATATATTTTTTTTTGCTGAACGTCCAAAAGTACACATTTTGAAATTAAAATGAATTCTTTGACATAAAATCGCTTAACCCGCGCCCCACTGGGGTCTGCGTATAACACGCCCTACTGGGGGGGGGGGGGCTATTCATAGCCCCCCCTCCTAACTCCGAAACTACTGGGCCGATCGTCAAAGTTCAAACGGCGTCTGATAGCCCCGGAAAAACTGTCGAGCGAAGCCAAATTTCATTGACCTCGAGGTCACCGATGACGTCACAGGTCAGGTCAAAGTAAAAATTATTAGCATTTTTGCTTGTTCACGTTTTGGGCTCTGGCCGCCGTCTTACAAGTCAGATCAGGCTCATTTTTGGTTCACACACTCGTGAACAGATGCTCTAGATACCCTGAGGGTACCAAACTTATACTTTGATTTTCAGGTCAAGGTCAGGTCATCACAGGTCACGAAAATATTATATCATCCGTCGGTCACGTGACACATGTTTTATGGTCCATTTAGGCCAAAAATTTCGAATTTGATGTCGTCTGTGTCATTCGAGGTCATTTTGAGTCAAATTTAGCTGAGGTCAGGTCACTTTCAGGTCAAAAAAGGTCAAATTTTGAAGTTAGAATTTTTCAACAAAAAAGGTGTCTATTGGATGCAGTTTGAGCTCAGGAACACGATGGTGCTATTTATATTGGCGTACAATGTCAAACTCGTGCTGAAAAAATTGATTTGAAAAATTAATAATTGTTAATTTTTTGCAATAATGCGTATAACTTGGCCATTTTTGAAGATATTTAGCTAAAACTTGCTAGAGTTAGTCATAATAATGCGTTCTATCACATATATTCCGGTTTTTTTTCGAAAAGTCAAAAAAATTTCGAAAAAAATGTAAAAAATTAAATTTTGAATTACAAAATTGTTTTTCGAAATTTTCAAAATTTCGAACATCCGAGATAGCAGTTTGATAGCGCAATCTATTCTGAGTCCTCTCATGCAAAGAAATTGGATCTAGCTGAAAAACTGAGCTCTTGAGAGCGATTGCCGTGGTTCAATGTTTTGCGTCGAAATCGGCCGAACATGACGTCACTCTGACGTCATTTCCGGCCGACCTATGGTAGGTACGAAGTTCAAATTTTGACACAAGGTGTCAAATTGATGCAGCCGAAGGTACTGAAAGTTTGGCGTCGATACGTCAAGCGGTTTGGAAGTTATTGCAGAAAAACGGGAGGGGGCTATAAATAGCCCCCCCCCCAGTGGGGCGCGGGTTAAACTGGAAGGGGAATGCAGTGTGGTGTAGCGCCGAACAGCCTGGGGAGGGAAGTGTGATCAAAGATGATGATTTTTTTATATAAATTTAGTCCGAACCTTTTGATAGGAAGGTTTAACAAGGACAGAGCCACCGCTAAGCGAAGCTTGTTGCGATGACCCTGCCCTCTACCCTCCGATCTCGCAATTCCGGCTCTATGGCAGAATATAGAGTCCAAAGTTTAACGTGCGCACATAGCCGCGCACGGCCGGTCCCCTCACTGACTTCGCCGGGCTACGGCCTGCCACCAACCGCAACCATACCTGTCAGGAGGCCCATAAATGCCAAGCCCCGTCACGCTTCGAACCCGGACTGTTATAACCGGGAACGCGTGCTCTCATCACGTGGAGTCCAACGCTCTACCAACTGAGCTACGGGACCGGCTGGGTTGGACCGATGATGGGTTGGTTCTCATTTCTAAGGATGCGTGCAAGAGTTTAAGTTCCCCGTTTCCCCACAATTAATATCAATACTATCACCCAGTTTAGATGGGGACATAACTGAGACTCTAGGCTATGGAGATGTGAACAGCAAATATTAGTCTGCAGCGTCACTCTCTTAAGGACAGTATTGGCGGCAGCAAGTAACAACCTCTGCTGCCTTTTGAGCCCTAGCTGGATGGGGCCGTTTCACCACTGATTTCTGAGTGACCTGCAAACTCCACTCTTCCTGTCCAATGCCCAACACTCCACACATCAGCGACAAACCGGCCACGGGGGAGCGGCCTCGCCAAGCGCGGACGGCGCGGCGGCATACTGCCTGTGAGTTATACTATCCCGCACCACACAGCGGCATGCGGCACAGCCTACATACAGGACGTTTGCTGCCGGCCAGAACCAAGCCTGCGTGCTGTGGAGCGAACGCTCATTTTCGGGTAATTTGCGGTTTACATGGTGTTTTTACTTACATTCTTGGTGACCAATCGATTCCAAATGCTTCTAGAAAAAAAAGAAAGACTTGTTTTAGAGTCTCCTTCGTTTCATTGATGATCAAAGCTAGAGATGTCAATCGGATACCAACTTTTTAGTATACCGATACCAAATCGATATCAACGTGGTAGCCATGTGGTGTATCCAGGCTTATGCGCTTGGTATTTTGTTGGTATTATGACTCTTCAATTATGTATAAGAGGCTGTGAATTTTGTAAAAAAGGCATTTTGCTGATAATCCCAAGTTGGTTTGGTATCGGTATTTTTCCATGGGTATTGTTGGTATTTGGTTTGTTATCGTTATACCGATTTTCCGTAAATGACATCACTTATTAAAGCCAAGCAATGTGTGGACTGAAATAACCTAACTTTTCTAGCACAAATGTATTCAACTTATCGATGTGGGCAAATACCGATAATTGCCGGTCACCACGCCTCCTGTGCGGAAGTTGCGCCATCAGTGCTATGTGATAAGATAATTGAGCGATTGAACAGTTCAATATTCATGAAAAAATGATGCATATCATATTTGTAAGAAATATGACAAAAGATACTGTTAAATCATGCATGTTTCCGGGCGTTGCTACTTGATGAGTCTAGAGACGTGATTTTGGACGCTGCAGGGCAAGTGTCCTCCCCCCAAAAAAACTGCCTCCGAATTGTGACTTTTTCAAGCAAGCGTTTTTCCCCTTAAAAAAGTTCAGCTTTTTTTGCAAGGATAGTGACATATACATACCTACTAAGCTGCAGGTAGCAATACCCCAAAATGATCCCATCGATCCGCCAGTGACACTACTTATTCACAACAGACAACGTTTCGAACGATGATTTTCAGCGACTAAAATGGATCATAAATGCGCAATAAAAGTTGGGAAGTTATTCTTACGATAACGTTATGCAGATTTGACATCTTACATATTTGGTTGGTGTGCCCTAAAATACAGTTTTAGCTCCACTTTACCTTAGTCCTTAAGCATAATATATGTAAAATTCCTGAATACCTACACCGGCTACATCATGTAATTTGCAATTCACAAAGGCTTTTGACTATTTCTGACATGCTCACGATGACGTAGCAAAACATCTGTCAAACTTTGTTCGGCCCACGGCAGCTCAGGCGATACACGGTAGCGCCACCGTACCGACTAGGCCTCGCTTCGCACCGCTTCGCTCTGCATGTATAATGCAAAACAGCGGCGCTCCCAGCAACGGCCTCGGCGTTGCGCCGTCCAACTTTGAGTCGGCGGCCCCCGGCAGCCCCGCGGCGGCGGCGGCGGTGGCTGCCGGCTAACTTTAGCCGACGGGTGGTGTTTTGATGGAACGCCCTGGCCGCAGACCAGCCCCCGGTCACGCCACTGCACTGCCGGTCGAAGGCTTTCAGCGGAACGGGGGAATATGGCCGCTAGTGCTGTTAGACCTACGTGGGGTTCAGGGGCTGCAAGGGATTGTGCCCAGCTGTTTGTGACACATGAACTCGATATAATAATATTCAAAAGTAAATGAAGGGCTTGTTTAGGAAACTGTGAGCTTATATGTACAAAATGCTTATGACAAGGAATTATGTCGACTATAGACGCTTTGATACACTTCGCCAATCCCTAAATGAGCAATTTAAACTTAATGTCATTAACCAGCGGATGAAGCCTTTTCCTGACAGGTTTCCAACTTTGGAGGGCTTATCATCTCGACCAAGTGTATTTCATCAGGCCGCCTTTGCCGCGTCGGGGAAGGACAGGTAAAGCCTCGAATCAATCCCGGTTGCCGCGGAGCCTGGTGGCCTCCTATCGACCCACCTTTGGACAGGGGGCTGCCGGCGGCCGACGGAGAGCGCTGATTGGCCGCCGAGCTCGGGCTGGCCGCTCCGCCATTGGCCGGCGCGTCGGTGGGCGTGGCCGGCGAGTCGGCCGGCGCGTGGGCCGGGGAGTGCGCCGGGGAGCCGGCGGCGGCGGTGGGCGGCCCGGCCGGCGACGGCCGACCGCCGCCCCCCGCCTCCGCCCGGCCCCGGTCAGCCTCGGAGGTCGGCGGCGGCGGCGGAGCGACGGGCGGCGGCGGCGGCGGCGGCTCCTCCTGACGGGGCCGCGGCCGGTCGCGCACCAACCGCTCACAATGACGCGCCATGGACTGGATGGAGGCGCACTCTGTCTCGATCTTGAGCAGATCGTCCAGCGGGTTGTAGAGGAGTCCGGCCGTCGGCTCGCGCCGCTCTCCGGCCGGCTCCGGCTCCGGCTCCGGCTCCGGAGGGGGCTCGGCGCCATCGGCCACGGGGCTGACCACGCGCACCACGTCATCGCCCCCGGACCGGGCCTCCAGCACTGTCAGCGTGCGCGGCTCGGTCCGGTGCTCTTGCCTCAGCTCCAGATCCTGTCCCATCTCTTGTCTCAGCTCTTGTCTCAGTTCTTGGCTCGAGTCTGATCCCTGGTCATGACTACTCTCATGTTTTGATGCTCTAAACACAAAGGAGGATTGCTGTTCGGACTGCTCCATCGTGCCATCAACAGAGCTCGTCTGTTCTGAACTAGACTGCAGTTCAAGCTCTTGACTGAGTCTCCTAACAGTTATCAACTCTTTTGGTCCCTTATTTGGCTCCATCTCCGTCTCTGCCGTTGATACCATCCTCTCCTCTCTATTCGAGCGTTGTTCTTGCTTCATTTCCACCCTCGTCTCCTGCACCGACTCCTGTCTGCCGTCTCTGCCAGCTGCGGGAGCTCTGGAGGAGTTGTCAGCTCTTTGACGTCGCCGCTTCTTGGGTGCCGGATCCGACTCTTCTGAACGCAGTCGCTTCAGATGTCGGCTCTCGGCTCGGTTCGTCATGGTGAAGGTCCTGTAACACAAGATGGAGCGCTGTCAGACTTAGCTGGGTGGTAGGGTACAGAGAAAGGGACCAGACTCGGGGGAAGAAGAGCAATCTATTCTCACTCTCAGTTGTGCTTGGAGCGGTGTTATGGCGATGACATATGTATGCGGAACATGACAGAAAAGCGCGAAAGCGTGTGCGGTGTGGTTATGAAGGAGGTAAACATTTGCATGGCTGAACTGGGATCATCTACTTCAGTACTGTAACTCCGTGTTAAACGGTAAACAAGGTTTCAAGCAATGAATGTGCGAAGTTGTCAACTAGGGTTGTCGTTGCGTGATCTTAAGACTTAAGTCAAGGCTAAACCTGGCCGTGACGACAGCTTGTTGAGGAAGTCACCGGCACCTCACTGGTCGTGGAACTTTGAAGGCAATCAAACTTCGGCTAGCTAGGCGAAGAACAAAGTATCTTATGTAGTTGTGCAAGTTTGTGTGTGACGCTGGAACCTTAAGTTCAAGGACCAATGCTTGTAAAAATCAGCATTCGACACCTGTTTCTGACTTTTGGTGATGCTTGTCGATGTAACAAGAAGACTCCTTCTCCATGTGCGGTTATCTATGACTAGGAGGAAACGATTCAAGACAACTTATGTCCCCAACTTCGCTCTAACCTTGACCTGGAGCTGGGCATCGTGGTTCGAAGCGCCGCATCGGGCCAACTCAGAAACAATCGGAAAAAGTTTGTCAACTTTGCCGTGACCTTGATTCATTGGGATCAGACTTTGCAAATGGGGAAACCCAGCTGGCAGATGTTCACCCATAACGCGAAGATCAAGGTTAACCTGCATTCAGAGACACACGGGAATCGCCAACACTTCATTGGAGTCGAGTAACGTCTCTAGCTTTAAAAAAAAGAATGCAGCATAGACCAACTTCAATTGCAATTAACTTTGACATTTATTTTCCTTGAAAATGGATATATATTTTTTTTTTGGAAGACAGTTGCAATTAGTTGACTTCAGTTTGTACTGCGCACTTTGCACTACGAACCACAGATAGTGAATCGATCACGTTTACCGCCGTTAGAGGTCGTTTTTTAACCATTCCTCTCGGCTGCCGGAAACAGCAGTCCCAACACAACCCCAACAAGGACAAGGAAAAATGACAAATGGCGTGAGCGCGGAGTCCACAGCAAGTTAGGTGTGACGTATCTTGCATGTCTGAACAGATCATGCTGTGGAGTATAACCTTGCTGTGGATGGAGACCCAGAAGAGCAACAACAGCAGAAAAATGAGCCCGGATATTTTGTTCTAATCGAACAGAGCGCATCAAGTTATGAGTTGGTGCCAGTTTTAGGGAGCCACTGCCACACCGTTAGCAGCAGCACGCACAGCTCATAAGGAACACTCCGTCACATGAAGTGGATCTCAAAGGACATAAGCCAACATTGTTTTTTTTTCTGATCTACACAGGGCTGTGTAACGCTAGTTTTGAATTTTCTTTTTCAGATTTTGGGCCAGTCACCTGAAATGTTATTTCAGGTGACTGGCCAGTCACCTGAAATCATAAACGTTATGAAACGTCACAAGTCACATGAAATGAAAAGCATTGTTTTTTGTTCAAGCATATACCTAAATGCCTCTGTTTACCTACCTCGGACCTTTACAGAGGTCTATGGTTCAAAATTCACATCCAGTATCATTTTATAAATCTCTCCCTTGAAACAAAGACCCAGAGCCAACAAACGGGGTGCCAACAGCGCTGTCTGCCGCTACAACTTCGCCCTTCCGCCCATCCACGGGACCCTCCGCGGCGTTCGGGGGTCACGCCGACCTCAGAGCCGGATTTTGAACAGGAAGCGGGCCGCGCCGGCCCAGTTTTAACCATTATCCAGGCGCCGGGTCGGCCAGCCGACCGGTCGGCCCGCTGGCAAAGTTGGCCGGCGCCGTCCGCGCGCGGTCGAACGTATGTCACGGCTCGGCGGACTGCAGCGGCCGGCCGGCAGCGCCGGGCCGTGCGTTCCCGGTACTGCCACCCGACCCGTGCCGTCCTGCACGTGGCAATGCAGTGCCGTGTGTGTCACAGACACCCTACTCTGATTTCAGGGAAAGGCGTCAGGCGACATGAACAAAAGTTTGGCAAAGAATAAAGTGTTGCGACGCTTTAAGTGAAATGCTATTTTCAGGCGACTGTCCTACTGAAAGTGATTTCAAGACGCACAGCCCTGAATGATTTTGCGTTCAAAAATTTGACGTTTTTTAAGATAACGAAGTGAAGATGTGGCTCTGGTAAAAGGGATGAGCGATACCGATAGTTATCTGCGGCAGGACACCGAACACTGATATTAATAACTTTAATAGGCAGATACCCTGGCCGTTGCCAAGCAAAAGCAGATGTCTCGCTACAACGTGCTGGAATTAATGATCGCTGAATAACTATATTTCTGCAATCAGTCCCAGCAAAATAAACTACAAGGAGACTGGTCAGCCGTCTGCTGTATATGCTAAGCATTGCGAGAATTGTTTTTGCACACCAGTGGGCACAGACACCCCGTAGTGAATATTTCTTTATTCCGTCTAAGTTTTGAGCATGTAAAAACCAAATGCATAATCGAGAGAAAACTTTCGTTCAGTTCTGTTTTTGGAAGACCGCATTACGGTCGGATGAATATGACAATGACAGGTATGATCAAGATCATATATTACTTCGATAAATATTTCCCCAGCGCTTCTATGGTATCCTTGAACTCATGTCTTGATTTTGTTCCAGACTATTTATGAAATGTGAGCACTAAGCTCATGAAATGTGCTGATACAGATCTCCAGATTACAGATAATGTGCTGATCTTGACCGATCTCCTTGTGCGCTTGGTGCTGTTTCCTAAAAATAAAATGCATGCCCTCGGCTACAGCTTTCCTTGAGCCGGCCTTACATAAGTGCACAGGAGCCGAAACGGTGCAAAAGCCCTCTGCGCGGGATGTTTAACATCCATCCAGCAACATTGCCACAAACACCGCAACTTCTGCCTGAACTCCGGCCATTGTCATAGCCACTAAAGGTCATGGCTGGCTGCGAAAGTTCATGCGTTGGGATCCCCTGACCTGTTGCTAAAGCCTGGAAGCTGCTGCTTCCCGCCTCTTAGTTTGTGCAGTTATTCCCGCACAAGTCATTCTCATTACTTCCTGTTGCGTATCACTTCAAGGGGTTAGCTCTTCCGTGGTGAAGTCGCTTCAACCAACAGTCGTTGGCCCTTTATTATGAGCAGCGTCGCCTATTCTGTTTGCCTGGAGTATGCCATGGATTTAATTAACGAACCATCAATCTTTGCATCATGCAAAGAGTAAGCTTAAGTGGCAGTGGCAACATCATACCTACTCAGCTGTGATAACCTAATAAGAATACGGGTCACCTTCTTTGGACGCCTGAACGCACTGTGCACCTCTCAACGAGCAGGCATCCAAATTGTATCCCTCGGTAGTAGGCATGTCTACCTCGCAAACGCTGACTCGTCAGCCAGTTGTCAGTTGTTGCGGCGCGACAGTTTCCTTTGCGATCCCTTTGCGGTTCCATTAAATATGAATAGTCTTGCTTTTGAGCGCTTTTTTAATAACGTGTAAAATAGCATTAATTTGTGGCAGTTTGAGAGGTGAGATTATAGTTACAGCGAAGCTACAAGCCAGGTTATATTGTTACTTGGTCAGCACAATTATTTAGCCACTGCTGTCGCCATCTATACGAATGTAGGTAAGGCACTAAAATATCGCTAGGCACCAGACACATGCAAATCCTGGATATCCTTTGTGATTATATTGAGTTTCATTAAGATGCAAGTAGTTTTTAAACAAAAGTAAGGCATACCAATGGATTTCACTTTGTGTAAGACAGCTTCTTTTAGCAGCAAAATACCCGGAATCACTCGTAAGCCGATGCGTATCATCTCATGCCAATCGTTCGATAAAACTGTTTGTGTGGGTGTGTCGTTCTATCCTTTCCCATACGCCGAGATATCCCTTTAGCATTATCCTAGCCGTGCGGGAAACATTTGCACGTGATCTTTCCTGCACTGTTTTCCGGCACGGGTTGATGACCTACAGTTCTGGTGATTTTTTGATAAAAATCTTAAAGAAGGTGATTTCAATAATTAAATTGTGAGTTTCTGAATAGATATTAAACGACGTATGGGAAATATCTTACTGAACTTGCTCTGGGAAGAAAAATGGAAACCTCGGTCTTCAAAAAATCTCCGGCACTCGGCTACGCCTCGTGCCTACAATTTTTTAAAGACCTCGGTTTCCATTTTTCTTTCCCAGAGCCGTTCAGTAATATATATTCTAACCATCCCCACCAAACAGCCATTCCCTGAAACACCAAACTCTCCCATTCAGATAGTATTGACGCGACGGCCCACGTCTCTGTCGCCGCCGGCCACCTGTGGCTCGGCTCCCCTTTCTTCCCTCGCCCTCCTCCCCTGCGGCGTTTGTTTCCCCACTCCAGCCCCATCAGATCGGAGGGGAGGCGCGGCGCCGCAGCGCGACAGTGAGGAGGGGACGAACCTCTGGTACCGGAGGTTTACAGCAGATGTCATACCAGTGCTGATTGTGACGGCAGAAACAACGCAGCTTATCTGGAGCGTGACCCAGAGACCCAGAAACCACCGGCCACCGACGGCGCTGCCATCTAGTGACGGAAAGGGGAAACGTGTACCATTCGCGGCGCTTGGGGACTGCTGAGGTTATATGGAATGTTGGGAGGCGTCACGGGTCCCGTTTCACGGCACGACGCTACAGTGCGCTACGCTACGCTATGGTTTTGGTGCGGCATTTGAGACGAATTCGCCTGAACGCTCCAGCGCTTCGAGCGTCCGAGGTTGTTGATTTTTCCATGGAAACTAATACACGGATACGCGTAGTGTGCTGCATAGTGTCGTGCCGTGAAACAGGGTAATGGTATCTGGGAGAACGTTTAAGAAAGAAAAGCAGTGAATTAAAAATAACTAGTAAAGTGCTAAAATGAGATGACAACAAGGG